ATTTTTTAATTATTTTGTTATAGGGAAACCAGCATATAAATGAATAATATTTGTATTTTTCAGGATAAATTTTTATTCATGAATGACACCGCTAATAGACTAGGAAGCAACTGCAGAATTGGGGGTGGTATTTGCTTTTGTGCTGACTCAAAACAAACAAAAATTAATAATAATTTCTTCATTGCAACATTATCACATTCAACAGATCAGGTAAATTGTTGCATTAAATTTGTTTTAAATTAGCAAACTGGGTCCATTTAAAAAAAAGCATGATTAAAAATTATTAATTTCCAGATCACATAATCTGCTCTTCCATGTGCACTCCATCGTAAACAAACTACCACCAACAGTTAATTACCATTTATTATTTTTAAAGCAGTACATAACGCATTCATTTGAAAGCTTGCCAGTAGATTTCATTGAGAAAATCATGTAGTGGATTAATGAAGCAGCAAAAACACAGTCTCACTAGCCTTGCATTAAAGGGATAGTTCATGTTTGAGCTTCCGTGGTCATGTGATGAGCTCTGTGTACTGTATGTGTGTCAATCATTACGTATATGTAAATAAAGTCTACGTTAAATCTGGATAACCACAATGATCATATCAATCCTCTCAGCAAAAACTTTTAGATGTTGTGTCAGAAGGGTTAAGCTTTGTGGAACTAAATTCTTAATGTTATTATTTCTTATGCTACATTCTGTACTTAACCTTTCAGTTTTAAAATATTGTGGCATTGTGAATGTGCCATATTTTTTAATCTGTGCGTGTGTAGCCACAGGGCTACTAGTGCAGGCATCAGTAGGGCTCAGACAGTGATCTGCTGTGACAGTCCCTCGCTTTGGTGCCACACGGCAATGTGGCCGTCCAGCCGTATGCTGACAAGAATTCTCGGTTTTACCCTTTGCTCTCATTTATATCCTCAACCCTAGAAGAGCCAGTTTCACATTTACTAACATCTGTGACAGCCTTTATTCTGCTATGACATCCACGTCCATATCTCTAATTAATGTGATAACAGTCTTCAGGTGACGTAACCCGGGTCATTAATCTGTCGCTCTGATTAAAAACATCTCTGTTATCTAGCCTTGTTGCTGAGAGCAGTCTTGGTATAGATTGCTTACAGTCGAAGAAATCATATAAAGAAGCTTTCATCATTCTTAGATTGCTAGTTGGACTATCATTGATGTTAGGGCTGCACGATAAATCGCATGCGATATTTAACGCGCATCTTGTCAGAAAGCCGG